TTTGTCTTCTTTTAAACACAATGTACAAAAATAGAGATTCTTCCTTATTTTTTCGTGTAAAAATATTCCTCTGATGTAGTTCTCTAGGGGTGAGTGTGGCCGGACCTAGCCGGGGTGAGTGGGGCGGATCCGCCGGGAACGCTTGGTGACGGTGGTGTACTTGAAGGGCTTCTGTAGCTCTGTCTGTCCCTTGGGGTAACGCTTCATGAAGTGCACATCTTGCTGGTTCTCCCGGGTCTTGGGACCCTTGCGAGGCCTCCCCTTTTTGGTGAAGCCCACGTACCAGCCTGAGTACTTGGCTGACATCAGGGCCGTGTAGTTGTTTTCCAGAACCTTCTCGATGAACACACACTCCTTGCTAGTACCATCAGGCTGAAGGAGAGAGAGAAGGAGAGTCAAAGAAAGAAAAGTCAATGATGCCTTTGGTAAGTGTGCTACAGCAGACATTACACACAACCACAGTGACGGTAGTGGGTACTGAGGCCCATCACACGCAGGTCCCCCCAGGTCTAGAGAAGCTTCGCTCAACTCCCAACCTCTTAACACTAGCAACTCGCCAGAGGAGAGGGTTGAAAACAGGCATGAGCACACATGCCTTGTGGACATGGTAGGTGATCAGATACCAAGAAAGCTCTGCTTAAAACTAGATTTCACAAAATAAAGGGAAAAGAAATTGGAGGCTCAAAGCTCCGGAGTGGGTCCTGGGATGTGACTGGAGCCGGGACAGCACAGCAGAAAGGACCTAATCTCTGTTTCTTTATATGCAAATAGTCCTTTGTTATAGGCCCCACATCTTCTTCAGTCCTCCACCCAGGGAGCAGAGTACCACTGTCTTGCAGAAGTCCACTCCATCCTAACTCTCCTGCCTCATAAATGTAGGCTCCATTTCTTCCCTACTTGAGCAATAGACCTGGATCTAGCCAATCAAATAGTAACCCCTCCCAGACATGTGATGCAAGCCCTCCAATCATCCTACATATACCAGTGCCCCAAACAAAACAAACAAAAAAGAAAATGGGTTTAAACTTGAAGTATGTGTAAATCTGAAATGAGGGCAGCCATTTTACTAACATGAAAGGGAACCCTGCTGGGCAGCGATGCCAGCCCCGGGGAAGCAAGGCCAAGCAGGAGAATGAAGAAACTGCGGAGCCCTGGTCACTGCACTTGGGCTCTGAATGCAGCTGCATCTGCAGGTCACATTACCTCACCACCATGTGGGCCAACAATGTCTCATTTCCTTTAACTCAGCTGATGTTTTAATCTATCATTTGTAAGAGAAATGGGTCCTGGCAGATCTGTGGTTCAACTCTTCTGCGACACAGTTCAACACAAACTGCACTCAATGTGGGATGTGGCACACTCTACTACTTGGTATGAAGCAAGCTAGGAACCATCCAAAAATAAGATGTACCATGGCCAAACTCCACAGGCTGTGTAAGGGGGCCCTGGGGTCTCAGATTCCTGAACGGATGTCTAAGTCTTGAAAGACTAGATACTGACTTTGGAGCCAAAAGCCAAATGAACCCTAACATATCCTGTGACCTCAGAAGGGCCAAGACCTTCCTCTAAAACTCAGATTCCTCACCAAGCAAAAGAGAACAATGACTTCTTCGACATAGAGACACATAAGGAATGGCATTTGTAAATGAGCCTGACACACAGGGGGGACCCTCCTGGGTTTTTCTGAAAGGCAGGTAGCTCTGCTGGCCCTGCCCTGAACAAAAGATGGGGAGAAGATCTTGAAGCCTCCTCCTGGAGCTCCAAGGGAGAAAGTAGGAAACATGAAATTGGACGGGCTGACTTAGCAGCACACGTTTCCAGCTAACATCTCCAAATTTAGGCTGGGCCCACTCCTCGTTCCGGACTGCTGCCCAGCCAAGTTGGAAGCCCAGCGGTCTGGCTGTGTGTGGAGACTGAGGTGCGGGTTCCAGCCTTTTGTTTGAAGTGGAAAACTGGCCGGAGCTTCCAGGGACATTTCACCTTTGAGAGGAGGGCAAGCTTAGTCTCTGCAGACAGAGTGCTGAACTCTGCAGAAAGCCTGGCTAAAGAGACTCTCTGGGAAATGTTCTTTCAAGCCGGCTTCAGAACAGACAGAAGGTAGGTTCAAAACACACATGATACCCAGAGGACAGCTTGGGTAGAAATAATAGTAAGACTATTATAAAGGAAGGCAGAAAAACGTGTGTAAGGCAGGTTGAGGCCAGTGATCTCTTGGCTCTAGGTCTCTCACTGAAAGGTCTAGAAGCTCCTTGTCCAATTCTTTACATGATTTTCACCAAAGTCAAAGCAACCAGAACAAAAGCTAGACAACACCGTCCTGTTTCTGCCCTTCAAAGCTCAGCACTGTAATTGCCTTCTCTGGGAAGCCACCCTTTGATTGCTCCTTTACTGTCTATAGGCAATGTCTAGAGACAATGGTCTAACTCAGGTGCAGCCTACTGTTGGCCTCTTAGCCTTTCTTGCCAAGTCCATAGTGGAGGCTCTGTGCTCATCATAGGCTCCAACCACTGATTCCCAAGAGCTCCTCAGTGCCCTGGGATGTTGGAACCAGCCCAGAGCCCAGCTTCCTGGTCCTTTGAAGCAAATTAGACATGTACTAAGCATCTGCACTTAGAATTCTACTAGTTCACACACCCCATCTTTGGAAGTCCCTGGGTACCCACCTCTCTCCTACCTGCCTCCTCCTTAGTCCAAGAGCAACTTGAGACCAGGATTGCTTCTGACTTACTCTAGGAGCTGAGCATAGGCCCTAGCCCAAGATGGGGTTTGTGGTCAGACAAACAAGAGCCTGGATGTTGTGAGTAGATGACACATGAAAGAGCCTGAAAGAAAAGAGAGTCTACTTTCTGAATCCCTTACAGTGTCTCTCAGATGTGCTTCCTGAAGGACTCTCTATTCAAGGAGACAGAACAAGCTGAGGGCTTGAGAGGTCTACTGGCCCACTTGGTCTCCCTACTCATTCATTCAGTATTTATTGATTGCTGACCACAGGCCAGACATTCCCACATCCATTATGTCATTTCATCATCTTAAGTCATTGAGATTGACTCTGCCTAGAGAAAACAGCTAAAGGAAGCAAAGGGGCTTGCCCAAGGTCATGGCACTTGAAAATAGCCCCTAGCACACTTGTCTCATGTCCAGTTCTGGAGATGTCCGTGGGGAGAAGAGAAGAGGCAGAGTGAGTGATGGCCACCAAAATTCATCACCTCCCATGGAGCCACCATGGTCACATAGTAAAATGTGGGCACAAAATGAAATGTTGGGTGTGCAATAGTCTAGCACAGATTGGGCATGTAGGCTTAATTTACATCTGTGTTTACTATGTTCAGAGGGCTGGGAAGCTGGGCTCTGGACTGGTCCGGACACCACAGGGCACAGACAGGCTCTTGGGAAGTAATAGAAGCCAGTGATGAACACAGATTCTCCACCATGGACTCAGCCAGAAAGGCCAAGAGGCTAACAGCCAGCTGCACGTGAATTTGATCATTGCCTCTTTTTCTGACCCCTTCTATGACCATGTCACCTACATGGACATTTAATTTTTTTTTAAATCAAAGCTTGGGCTGCACCTCAGAACCTCTGAACCTGCCCACTAAGGCAAGCAAGGACACCCACTTTTAAAGAGTAACCTAGCATCTCAGAGCCTCCAACCCCACTTTCACTCCTTACTTCCAGTGAGAATCACAACCCTTCTATGTGACCCGAATCCTGATGACATCATGAAATCACACCTCACCT